CAACTGATTCCATGCAAAGCTTGTAATTTGGGACATCCAGTGAGTTAAAGGGGATCATAATCAAGAAGAAGAAATATATATATATATTCAAAAATTGACAAAGAAATCTATAAGAAGCCTAATTAAATTCTGTTATAAATCTGGAGGAGGAATCATAAAAAGAAAACTAAATCAGTGCCTACAGGTGGAAATTCCTCTTGGTAACTGCCCTCTGAACCTGTGAAAAAGATAATGTGGGGGATTTTGTTGAGGAATGGCTGGCATGTGGCTGCAGAAAAACAATGGTCTTTCTTGGCAAAGTTCTGAATATTCTGTTTGCTCAAAAATTTATTGTGCTATTTTTGAATGGATAAATATCAGAGATGTAATTATAAGTACAGTCTACCACACTCCTCCCCCAGTATCCCTAACCATGCACCTGAACAAAAGTCAGTGAGGCTGAGTATGGGAATATTCAGTGAATGCAGCATATGCATAGTCATAGAATGGAGAGAAACATGATAGAATAGAGAGGGAAAAGATTCAGTGCCGATCACTATACACTGTGAGAGAAACACTTTCTTAATAATATAATACTCTTTCTGTGTTACCTGATCGGCACAAGGCCTGATGTAAAGAGATGCTACTCGTCACTCAGAGTGTGTGTACTGTGTCATAATAAAAAATGGAGAAGGTTGCATTCTGCCCTTTGTAGTAGTCACACAATACTGCCACTGAAATGGGTCTGCGGTCAGGCATGAGGACACGTCAGCCAGAGAATAGTAAGCTGTTGAAGTCAGTGGATTTTTTGCCAGGGACTTCAGTGGGGCTGAGATTTACCCATACAGTTTGCCTTCTCTTTAGCTGACTCTTGTTCTGCTGTGCTATTTAGACAACACAAGATGCTTCCTGATTCCTTGGCTCCCCCACAGTGGGAGCAGGAAGCATAAAGTCTCATTTTTGCAGGTAAGCAAGCAGAATTTCTTCAAGGCACGATGAGATGAACCTGGGCATGATCCCAAACTGTCTTTTATGAGCCTAAAATGCAATTTAGGCAGAATGTAGGTCATACTGGGGGTCACACAAAATCCTGCCAATCTTGATTAGGTGTCTCCCAGGCATGTATGTTGCTGAGTGGGACTTCCTTAGGTACCCAGTATAGACCTACTGCATGTGTTCAGCCACTCCTACCCACAGTCAGCTCAATCAAGTGAAAAGGAGCCTTCCTGCAAGGGAAGGAGCTGGCGTGTGTTTCCCCCTGCGGCAGAAAGTGCTGAGATGTAGTGAAAGCTAGGAAAGAACCTGGGGAAGAAAAGTAGGGCTCAGGGGAGCAAGGCTCTTGGTCCCGTCACAGAAATAAAGAAGCAGAGGCACCAATTACTGTCCCAAGATGCAGACTTCTGCCTCATTTTCCTGGGCTCTGTGTGAAGCAAAGCAGTGCTATTGCTTTTTTGTCTGGTTTGATTTGGGTTTGTCTTTTTGCAACAGGCAGCAGAAAAAGCAACAGCCTGCTTGCCTGACATCTTGAACTGGCCCTGCTGCAGGGCTGCATAGCTGAGCCATTCCTGTTTCCTTTCACAAGCTGGGCCCTCCTTACCTCAGACTCTTTTGGGTCAGAACCAAGAGGTTTGCCCTAAAGGTGCACAGGACCAGAACGTAGGACTTTTAATGGCAACTGAGACCCCCCCCTCCTCAGCTTATTTTCTGGGGCACATGTTGCTAACTAGAAGCTTTTGAACATGAAGCTGTGTAGTTTCATTAGCTTAGGATCAACTTACAGTAAAGCGGCTCCCCAGCTGGCTTGCAAAACAGAAGAAACAGGCTCACCTCTGCCTGCAAAAGACCATGTCAGCATAGTCTCCTGGTCTCCAGCATTTGCAGCCACTTCCTTTCAAATGTGACAATTGCTGTCTACCTTTTGTGCAATTGTCTGGCAGCTGCAACACTTTGAGAAATAAAAGTTTTCAGTTCTCTTTAAGTTAAGCTATGCATTTGAAGGTCTCTTAAGAAGACTCTCATTGAGAAATGAGAGGTAGCAGGGGCCAGAAACGCATCACACTACACACTGAAGTGAGCCACAGTGCAGCTGGGAAGTCAAGAGCTGTAGAGCTAAATAGAGCAAAGATGAGGCACTGCTTTTGCAGTGTGTGTAGACAGGCATGGACCAAAAACCAGGGTTCAGAGCTTTCCATTCACAGTGGGAATACTCATTACCTGCACCTCTCATATCACTCCTTTCTACTCGCTCTGGCTTTATGAGCTCTGCCTTCTGGGCTGCAGAGTGACCCAGCCAATACAGAAAAAATACAAGTACTCTCATCACTATTCCCACTCTCACCTAAATTATTCTGATGAGACTCCCTTTTCTATATTATTGTAGAGTCTGCTGATATATAGCTGGAGTCCCACTTCTGCAGCACATATTCAACAGGCTGCTAGCTAAAAGTATCACCACAAGTCCCACACCAAAGGAAGAACAGAGATAAGCCACCTGTCCCCACATGTGTGACTAAGGTAGCTGAACACAGGACAGCCCAGTTCAGGCATTGACATTCAAAGATACAACTGCAGCTCTGATAGGGAGCAAAAGTCCACTCACTGGGAGATTCGGTGACACATTTAGCTTGCCATGCACATTCTTAAGGTATGTTTTACATCAATGAGTACAGACAGACATACCTGCTCCATCTGTGATCCAGGCCAAATGGTTATATGACATTCTGTTCCAGGAGATACAAGTTTTAGGTCCAGTTACAAGTTTTAGGTCCAGTGCTGTAGTTACATGGATACACACAGCTGCGGGATTAGGGTTGGATCACCACACATGGCAGGAGCAGGCATATGTCTCACTGTGCCCATCTTTGCATAGTTTCTTTCTCAGTGCTAGCTTTCCTCAGCTGATGTACGGGAAATTTAAGCTTTATATCTATCTACATGTCTTGCCTATGCCTTAGCCCAAACTTGTGACCTAACCCAGGAATTTACTCACTGCTGATCTCTAAAGCTGGAATGCACACTGACTAGCCTGAATCTTCAAACTTCTGGGTCAGTGGAGAGGCAGTCTGTGGGGACACATTCAAGCTCTATCGAGAGCCAGCTGTTAGCACAAGCACAGTGAGAGCAGTGGCTTAGGCTGACCTTTGCCTTGGTTATAATGGGCTGTTATAATAGCCATTTAACTAGTGTCCTGCATCCTTGAAAGCCAGGCTGTCTGATGACATGGAATGAGAGGTCAGAGTATGCATCAAAGAACCTGCTGCTTCTCCTAGGATCAGCAGTCATTCCCTCAGTTACCCAGTGACCACAGCCAAGAATGGCTCTCAGACATGTTACACTGTTTCCCCTCCCCTCTTAGAGCTGGAGTAGCCCTGGGGACCTGCTCTGTTCTCTCTCCCTTAAGGCATCAAAGCTGGATTCTGGGATGTTGCCAGGAACCTCTTGGTCTGTCCCATGCACAGTGTGGTACGCTGCCACATTCCAAATGTGCCAGTTGCAGAGGAGCTCAGGCTGAGAGACAGTAGCAAACCCTTGAATGGTGGTGGTAAAAATACAAAGAAATAGCACATCAAGGCTCACCCTCAACACATAGTTGCCACTTCATTGCTGAGGTAGGTTGCCTGTGTGGACTCTGTCCCTGCTTAACTCCAGGGAAGCATGCACCCCACTTACCCACCAGCCTGCCTGCGTGCTAAGAAGGGGATGTGCTCCTACTATTGAGTTGCAGTGTAACAAGCGGCACCAGTTGAGAAGTGGTTTAAAAAGCCATCCTTTACTACCTCTCAGCTAGTAGTTGGTGCTTTCGAGCAGAGATACCTGCCAGAGTAGATGCCATTTTGATCACAGCAAAAGGGAGGTCACAAAGCTCATCACAACAAATCCATAGACAAACATCTAGTGTAGACAGAGCTTTAGGTGACTTGCTCAGCACTGTGAATTTTGATTCAAGAGCTAAGCACCCCCTTCCAGGTATCACATAGCTGGCATGACAACACCAAGGGCTGCTATTAGGTGAGCTCTTCTGACTTCTGCTGATCAGGGTTAAGATGTGGATGTACTCAGCTGTGTCCAGAAGTTTGTCCCCTTTCCCCAGAGGTTACTGCCCAATCAGTTTTGCAATTTAATGCTTTGTCTGATTGCTCCTTGACAATGATTTCTATAAGGTGATTCAGCTTGAATGAAAAGAGCCTTTGGAGCTCGCCTCATCTGCACAGCTTCTTAGAGTATCCCAGCCAATTTGTAAAAAGAAGTACTGGGTTCAGCTCAGAAGAGCTGAAAGGGAGCCCATTGTACCTTTATGCTTCTGGGATTCATGCTGCACTTTAACAGGTTAGCCATTGGCCCCATGAAGGTCTTGGGAAAGAGGAGGGAAAATGCAAAAATACCTCAACTGCACTCCTACTCTGCCCCCACTAGGCTCCCCTAAACGGGTCCTGCGGGAACAGATGGCATAGGAATTGGCTCCGTCAGCTTTGTACGAGCTAGGAACTCCCTTGTGCCAAGGGAATCCTCGAATGGGGAGATCCGGCAGCTCTCCAGCTCCTCCAAAGTGGGTCAAAATGATTTAAGAAGCTGGCCCATTGCAGCCTCATTTCATCTGTAAATCAGCTCAAATACAGGGGATGATGGAGTGGTGAGAAAGCAGAGAATAAAATTTCCAAGAGGAAAATATGGATAAACATGCATAATCTGACATTTTGTTTAGACAGTTATTTAAAAAGAAACTTACAATCTTTTTAATTAAAATGAATGCAAAGGAATAGGCTATAAATATGAACACAGGAAGGTAGGAGTTGACAGCACACAGCTTCCCAGACAATCTTTTTTCAGTTGTTATGGAGTATAATAAAATTTTGTTTTGCTTTGCAATTTTTCCATAATGTTTATGTTTGTTTTAGATAACAGATTAACTGTAGGTGTTTTTTTTTTTCCCCATATAATGGGTTGGAAGCCCTCGTTTTACAGCTCGCATGGTGAATGAGCGCAGTGAATGAGATTACAGGAGGAAAGCGAGAGCGGATGGCCATGTGGGAACACCATACCTGGATTCTGGGTGTGATACACTGTCTATACTTATATTATCGTTATCACTAAACTATTGCTGGCTCCAAGTCTCATCACCTTACCTTACCTCTGCCATTCCCCCCGCTGCCTGCTGAGCTTTACCCCTGCTATCTGTCCACCTAACTAGCAAAATGGTAAACCAGTTTTGATATTTACCTGTTTATGATTAAACTGCAAAATGATCTGCTGTCTTCTCATCTAAATTAAGGTCTGCATTAAATGTCATAGCATTTATCTTTCATAGAACGAGACAGCAAGGACACTAATTTCCCAGGTACTCAATCACTGCCCCATGCCACTGGAGAGTGTCTCAGGGAGCAGCGTGCCCGCCGCTCACAGCTCACTGGCAGCACGGAGATGGAATCGTAAAAGTCAATTAATCATTAAAAGCTGTTACCAGCCCGTATTGAACCGCTCTGGCACAAAATGTTAATCAGCCCCACATCGATACCATAAATTCCTGCAAATTGGAGCGGTCGATAGCGCCGGATCGATGGGAGGGCGTGAAACCTCTCCGCTGGGCCCCACCAACATGGCCGCCGGGCAGCCACCACACCCCTCCCGGCAGGCCCCGCGCCCCGCCGTTACCACGGCGACTGCATGTCACCCCACAGCCCGGCCTGCTGGGGCTGAGGCGGGCACTGATGCATCACTGCCTGTGATGGGTCTGTCAATAACACTTAGCAGGGGAGGGGAGCCCTTCCCGCCGCGCTGGGGGGATTTAATGGCTCGAGGCGCCGTGTGCCGCCGCATACGTGTGAGGCTAAACAGGGCCAGGGGCAGCTGCTGCCTGGGGACGGGCTGGGGCGGCTGGCGCCGTGTGCCATTAACCCAGGTGCTGTTGCGGGAGGAGTAATCCGGAGCTCCGTGGGTTAGGAAACTGTTCTCCGCTGGGCTGTAATATGTTACTCATGAACGGCTGTGGAGTTGTTCATTAATCCCTTGGCTCGGTGTTTTCTTGCAGCCTCTGGTGCACTGCTGCCAGGCACCCGTAAATGGCACTGGAGCACCCAGGGCATGTGGAGGTGTGGAGAGATGGGAAGGTCACTTCTGCTTTGGTACCTGCCTAAGGCTTTTTCTCACAGAGCTGTCACTGTTGAGACAGTGTGAGTGGTATGAGTGAGCTGCCCTGCAAAAGGGACACTTTCACCCTTTCTTTCTCGAAGCATCCGCATGTGTTTGGGTGTTGGTTGCAGAGAAGTTAAGTCCTTGCCGCCCTCATCCCCAGGGCCAAAGCATGCTCCCAATCTTCCCACACAGATGTGCAGGCCAGACTGGGACAAGCTGAATAGCCTCTGGCAGAGAAGTGGGCACAACCGGAAGGACTGCATTTGAAGTGGGAATAAGGACTCGGTCCCCTGAGGCTGTCCTTGCGGTGTCCCTGCTGCCTTTTGCTGCTGCTTCTCCCGGGAGGGCAGAGATCCCTGCCTCCCATCCACAGGACTGCTGAAGGCTCAGCTGAACCCAATCCATTTATCTCCTGTTACTGTTATTAAATCTGACCTGCAGTAGGGGAAAAATAGCATTTTTAGGATTGCAGGATATTAAGAAGCCTCTTTAGAGATGAAAGAAATGCCGGATACTGTTACTCTAGGGAAGGATTGTGTTCCACCAGTTTCATTGTCATTTAACATAGAACGTAAAGGTTAATGCTGAATAAAATAATACCCATGTTGATTATTTTAATAGTCTCAAAGTATAACTTTTCCCCTGGACTTCAGTTATCTAATCCATGTGCTGTACATGCACTGGCAGTATTTTTCACTTTTCCACGGTGCTGATATGGTCGTTCCATTAAATTCAGTGCTGAGAAGCTATTGTGTGTATCTCTAATATAATCATTCCACACTCGATGTAAAAATGGGAAATATATGGATCCACAGCCATGCTAATTCCCAAGATTTGTACTTTTTAAAAGATTAATAAAAAAGTCCATCTTATTATTATCTGAGTTATAGGAAACATCAAAATAAATTAGGGATCCTACTGCAAAGAAATCCCCTATTCAGTGTATTGAGGTGGGAAGATGTTATGAGTGTTCAGACAGAGGTAATACAGTGCCTCTATTTAATTGCCCTGACACCTTGCTCAGTTCCTCCAGCTATACTCTGAGAGCTAAAAAAATCCCCTCTCATTGTTATTAATTGTATTCCTTTTTAAATGTAATGTCATATTGCTGCGGGCTGAGCTAATGAAACATACCCATATTACCAAAATAGGCATATTTCTTTTTGTACAACATGTTCTATCAAAACTGTCTGCTAAAGACATTGTGTTAAAGACCTTTCATAGAGCAATATAAAGAATATCTCAGCTACTCCAACATTTCTATTACGTGATTATTAAAATGCCCGGGAGGACTAAACAATATAGTGTGGATCCAGTTATCATATAAGACTTTAGAAATATTGTTAATTCCTGCCACTGATTTATGTTAATACTAATGCTAGATTACATGCTATGGCTACTAAACAGCCACAGCATACCAATTCACACAAAGACAGTTTCCTTCTCTCTATGGGAGCTGTACTCTTCTGTTATAATGAGAATCTGAATTATTTATCTCTCTTTATCCTACAGTAGTTCACTTGACCACAATCACTTCTTTTCCCTCTGTTTCTACTGCACATCAATGCATGTAAACATGACACAATAACAGCTACTATCTACCTATTTCAGCCACTTTAAATCATATGAGATCAGTCAGAGGATGTAAGCAAAAGTATTGTGCAGCGCTGAGCAGGAGAGAGGTATGAAGTTTCCTAAAAGCTGAAATGACACCCCTACCCCAGGTTGTCTTTGGTATATTTAAATACAGGTCCAGTGTAAATCACAAACTGAACAATACAGAACACCTCCTTGCTGATGGTTTCTGCTGATGGTTTCCTTGCCTTGGATACCTGCTGCTTTTCACAGCTCTAGCTGGGTGCGAACAGCTTCTCCGCAGCCTGTGCACAGACTCCACTATCTCTGTGTGGGACTACAGGCAAAATCAGCAGCCTGGGTAGGATCGACTACTGGTCTATTTGGGATGTTCATGCAAGAAAGTAGTGTTCAGTTCCACCTTCTTCCTAATCAAAAGCAGGGATGTGGCCAAAGCTCTTCTACATGAAAGATGAGTACTGCATCTGTGAAGTTGTACAGCAGTCTGTGACGTGTCTGTAGAAGTGTTTTCAACCTATCTGTAACACCTGTTCTGCATTCATTAGTGCTGGGTTATGCATTATTCATCAGAATAGTTCATTTTGCCCCCTTCGTATGTGGCACATGAATGTTTTAGTTGAACTCCCCATGTGATACTTGTATGCTGCTGCCCCACTGCCTGCTGTCTCACTGCATTTTGCTTGGCCTTGGCTCATCAAGACAGTAGGAGTCCAGCCCCACTGAATTAGTTCTGAGCTCCTTGGGGAGGGATGGTTCGCCTTTTTTCAATGTAAAGAAGCTTACACTACACCTAGGATGCTATCTAGCAGTAGGATACCAGCGTATTTCACTACTGCTTCCTTGCCTTTTGCAAGCAGCGGTGAAAAGTAGAATGTTCTTGGTCATGGCAGCCATCCTACAAGTGTCAATGTGGAGGCATGCAGGTTCCCACTGCATGCTGCTCTGTGACCTAGGCTCCAAGAAGAGTTAGAATTTACAGTCGCACACGTTGCTTGTCACAAGGAGTGGCAGACATCCATTTTACCTGGTAGCGGGACAGGTATGGACTATTTCTGGGCTGTTAAGGACCCATGATGGCAATAGAGGAGCATGTTGTAAGTGAAAGATGATCAGCTATAGAAAGAAGAAAGATAGCGTTTGTGAAAATCTGAGCTGGTGGGGAAGGTGACTGTCGTGATTCTCACAAAGTACTGAGGGAAGGGTTGTAAAGGTTATTTGGAAACTGACAACCTAAATTACATTTTCTAGGCAATTTGAAGTGGGAATGATGAAAAGCAGAAAGACTGCTCACAAGGTGGTATGTGCCATTTGGAAGAATTCTGTGCTGTGCTACCTGTAGTATTGATGCACAAAGCTTGGCGCCTGTCCAGGCCATTAGAAGACCTATATCACCATTTTTTATGTATGCTTGACCTTTTGGTTACACATCAGTTGAAAGACATATTTTTTCCGCTGTGCTTTTAGCTGTTGCTGTTCACTGCACTGTTTCACTGCCATTGCCACCATATAACAGGACATACCATGACAGGTTTTTCCACAGTCCTTGCTTGTCCAAGGCTCTGCAGGTATCTCAGTTTGCCCTGCCAGTTAAACAAATCTAGGTCAACAGAACCATCATGCTGTTCACTATCCATCTTATTTTAGTGACACATCACTGCCAATTTCAGCTACCATGTAAAGCACTGAACTTTTCACCAGGAAAAAAACGTGGAGTGGAAGTAAAATGGTTCTTTTTAAAAAACAAGTAAAATCCTTTCCCCCTGTTTTTTTAAGAGCATGATGGTAGACTTTCTCTGTCAGGCTTGAGACCATATTCTGTATGATGCCAGCAGGACCAAGGGGGAATAGATGGGAGAAGTTTGCAGGAGGTGACTGAGGTGGCATCACACATCATGCAATCACATTCATTTACCCATCAGAGCCAAATGAGTTAAATTGTGATGGGTGTTTTGCCCACCCATTCTGTGTAGAGGGCCTGACCACAGCTGGAGATGCTGTGGTGCTGTATGCCTGTTGTTTTGAAAGTCATAAACCCTCATTATATGCAAGTCTTGATCCCAGTGTCTAGTTTTTTTAGCTTGTCCTTGCCCTTGCTGGCTCCCCCTCACCTGTACCTGCATCAAGCAGCCATCACTATGCTATTATCCTAGGAAAGCACTGGGAGAAGAAATGCTGAAGAAGGAAAATTGTTGGGCTTTGCTGTGAGAAGTAATCTGTACAAAAAAAAGAAAGGGAAAGGAAAGGAATGGAGGGCCAGGCCAGGCCAGGCAAGGTAAGAATCTCTTTAAAGGGATTGATTAGGCTGAATCATTTGTCAGTGTGACTGTGTGGAGGTTTGAAGCCACAGAGGTGGATATATGTGTGTTATTAAAAACCAGGGTCATTGTAAGGACTTGAATCTCGACAGCAAACTCTTCTGGTGAGCTCTGAAATGCTTCCTTCATTGGAAGGAAGAGATGTGCACAAGGCCTTTGCTGCTGGGTAACAGGAGAGAGGATCTCAGAGTCTAACTGTGGTGTTTGACACAGTTGGACTCTGCTGCTGACCCACACTACCTCTGTTTTCGCTTCTTCCTCCATCTGGTTTGCTTTGCACACATTTGCCTGGCAAGATAGAGGTGTCTGCCAGCTGATGACACGCAGACTACTGAGGCTAGAAAGGAGAGGAACAGGACTTCTCTGACAGGGTTGGGGAAATGATCAAGGAGAGAGGAGCAGAGGTGGCCCAGAAACAATGCAGGCACCCAGGGTCTGCGTGCACAGGGTGAACTTCAGAAGTGATGCTGACCATGTGCTCTGAACACCTTTAGTCTGAAGAGGAAATCACATTGAATGTTGTGACACTGACCCATCACACTTGGCTGATAAACCCTCCCTTTCACTCAACCAAGGAGGCCCTGAACTATTCACTAGTGCTATTGATATGGTGTCTCAGAGGTGGACTTCTGAATTCCAATTAGTTGTAATAATTAGTCAAGTTCAGTAAAATACCCTGAAGATGGTATTTTAATTCAGGAAAACAGAAAGTCACATTTTATGTGGTATAAATTAGCCTACCTCTGAACCCTTCAATATTGGTGTATTAATTTCTATTATCTGACATACTGGTTTGGGTTACACTGGTTACCATGGCAAACCATTTTTCTTTGGGGAAGTAGAAGTCTAGAGAAAGACTTTAACCTTCATTATGGCAGTATAAACCAAGAGTAATTCTACTGAGTTTGAAAGAGTTATACCAGATTTACAGGGTAAGAAACAAGCTCAGAATTGAGTCGTAAAGAAAGATGCCATTTAGCATCTATCAGAGTTGATGAGGGCTTACCTTGTAATATTTAAAACCACTGGTATTTTAGTCAGATAGGGAAATGCATTCTCAGAGTCCAATTTAACAAAGTCTAATTTCAAAAACTGAAGCCGAGTTCTCCTAATCTGAGTGACTTTAGATACATATGGGAATATCAAAACATGATTGCCCTGAAACTCAATCTTCTTCTTTTTAATTACAGAAAGAATCCTATCTTAGTCACCTGAGAATCTGAAAGATACTCTAAGTATTTGACACTCAGAAGAACTTTTAACAGATAAATTATGAGGACAAGAGACAAAAGCTACCATCAATAGTAAAAGCAAATTTAAAATAAAACTAAAGATGCTTTAATAATTCAGAAAAAAAGAGCAAATCAATCCTGATCTGCAAATCCTGCCTTCAATAAACCTACTGCAGGAATTAGTTTACGTTATAAGAAGTCATGACTAGATCTTCAGCTGACATAAATCAGCAAAGCTCTACTGATTTCAATGGGCTCTACTAAGATAGGTTAGATGAGAATCTGACCCTCAATTGCTTTGTGATTTTTTTCCCCCAAATATAATTTTTCAGTTAACATAGAATCATGTAATAACATCATAGAATGCTTTAGGTTGGAAGAGATCTTTAAAGCTCATCTAGTCTAAGCCTTCCCTGCAATGAGCAGGGACATCTTCAACTAGACTAGCTTGCTCAGAGCCCTGTCCAACCTCGCCCTGAATGTTTCCAGGGATGGGACAGCCACCACCTCTCTGGGCAACCTATGCCAGTGTTTCATCACCCTCATTGTAAAAAAACAAATACAATTCTTTCTTATATCTAGTCTGAAACTATCCTCAAGTTTAAAACCATTACCCCATGTCCTGTCACAACAGGCCCTATTAGAATTTCTGTCCCCATCTTTTGGATAAGCGCACTTTAAGTGCTGAAAGACCACAATAAGGTCTCTCAGGAGACTTCTCCAGGCTGAACAGTTCTCCATAGGAGAAGTGTTAAAGCCCTCTGATGATTTTCATGGCCCTCCTCTGGACCCGCTGCAACAGGTCCATGTCTTTCCTGTGCTGAGAAGCCCAGAGCCGGATGCAGTACTCCATGGTGGGTCTCACCAGAGAAGAGTAGAGGGGCAGTATCCCTTACCTTGATCTGCTGCAGAAAAAGCAGTGCACACTCGGGGCTGATGCAGTGAGTGCTCTGCAGATACTCATGCTTCCATGGGGTGATGCCTGATGCAGACTGCAGTTCCTCAAGTGGTCCTTCAGTGCCGGGGCTGGTGCACTGGGCAGGGCTGACACAGCTTCCTGCAGGCCAAACAGCGAACAAGGAAAAGGAAGCAAGATCTGCTTTTCCCACCAGATCAATTCCCTGAGCTGCTGAAATTCATGGGCACATAAACACCTGGCTAAGCAAAGCATCACGCTGACGTGGAGCTGGAAATAAATAGACAAGGGGTTTGAAGTAAAGAGCTACCTAAGGCCATTTAAATAACACCAAATTTGTCACCAAAAATGAAGCCACACAATCTGATACACCTTACCACACAAAACTCTGAAGAGCAGTTCTACAGCCTGAATTATAGAAGCAAACAGGAAGGGCAGACAAATGGAGGAGCACTGGTATCCTATGCCAAACCAATTAAGCAGTCAGGCCCATCGGTAAAATTGTCTGGAAAGAAAACAGCTTTGTGCCTTTCCTGAGTTCAGCACAAAGAGAACTGGGAATACTGCGGGGCTGGAAGGAGACCCAAGCCAACCAGCAAACTGCAGTGTGCTGGCTACACTGATTTCTGTTCTCTAGGTCCCCTTGGTTTTACAGCTGTAGAGTTCTCCAAATCACTTCCTAATAACTCTATAGTGAATGCTATGAAAATGAAGCCCATGCAGTTTTTCTCTTGTTGATAGTGAAGCTTTTAAAACTTGGACATCCAGAAATACAGTTCTATTTTGTGCTGTATTCTTTTCTGCTTGTAAGTGTGGTTTATGGTCACAGAAATGGTAGAAGAAGGATATAATGTCTCTTATCTATTAACCATCAGGCTGCCATTATGACCAAATGGCTTCCCGACTTCTTCAAAATAAAAAGCGCCAGCAAATATTTAAAGCTATACAATAATTAGAAAAGTCTGGAATTGTCTCTTATTCTTTAACCTTAATCATATCAACCTGTTTGTACACATTAGCGTATCAAATGCCAAAAGCCTGCTGGGAACCCGTCCCTTTGCCAGCTGGTATGCACTGTGTTCAACCAGGACTGCTTTTTGTATGGGAAGCAATGAAAGAGCATCCACAGTGGTTTGACAAAAAACATGGAAACCAGAAAACACATCTGGAAGTTTCTGAGAACAAGCACACACACTGTGTGTTCATTTATTTTCCCACAAACAGGGAGATAGACAAGAGGATGTAGTCTGTGAAAACCATGTTTTATCTAGGACTGTATCATTGGGGCATCATATTGTATTACTGCAGAGAAAGCACATGGACTTCCAGTTTTCACCAGGGAGATCAGCTAACTGTTAGTCTGAATACACAGAGTGAACCACAGAGATTGGCAAGGAATTTTATTACCAAATGTTCATCACCCCTTGAAGAAGTCACGTGCTTTGTTGCACAGAGGTATCATTATTTTTCCACAGAAAGTGGAAAGAAATTCGGTATAGGGGAGGAGCAGATCAGCAAGTAAGGGGCCTGGATTTATGCCCACACATGGCCCCTGCAGCCCCTGAGGGGCATGAGTAAAAGGGGGCACATTATTGCTGCCTGGCTCCATACACATGCTCCAAGCCACATGGGTGCAGTCAGTCATCCTGTTACACACCTTTCCTTCCCACAGCTGAATCACTTTGTTACTGAAAATGGAATAAATTCTGCATTAAAAACTTTGTCAATAAGACACGGCATTGACAGAAGACAAGTGGATGCCACATAATATTATTAGTGCATTTTAGTCTAAGGTGAAATTTAAACACATGCACCTAAATTTTCTTAATCTCACCCTTCTGGTCTTGCCTCTTTAAGCCTTGCTTGCTAGTTTTGCTCTTGACCAATATGCCAGCATCTATTTCTCTTCTACAGCTGCTTTTTCCCTGGGTAGGTGAAATGAGGTCTCTCTCAGTGCTGAATTCTGCACTAAATAAAACTCTGTCTTTCTAATAATGAATCCTTCACATTGTCTCAGGGGCCACCTACACAATTAAGAACAATATGAAATTTAATTAACACAGGATAATAATAAGGGTATGAATGTCACAGTGAACTCTGAGTGAATACAGACCCCCACAGTAAATGGTTTGGGAACTGGAGTGAAAGCCAGCTGCTAACACTCTGGTCCCACACACCCAAGTGGCATTTCAACACCTGACCTCAAGTATCAAGGTACTGTAAGGAAAGAAAAGATGACTGTGA